ATGACATACGAATTATTGTTTTCAGGGCCTCAATCGCCTGACTTAGATTGTTCTATCCTTGAATGATTAATTTCATTTTCAATATGTTTGTTATTTGTTAGTCTTAACTGATGGTGCGAAGAGGCGAACACCTATCGCCTCTGCGGTGGCTAATGTGTGTAAGCGCATTCCTTTAGAGGATTTTTAAGGGTACCTGATATATTACGCTAAAAAAGGATTCTGGTCTTATTTGATGGTCCATATCCCCTAGATGACCAGAATGGCGCTTCCTATGCTTCCGGTTCCTCCTCCAGCGTGGGCAGTTTTCCTTCATCCGTTGGGATATTTTCCTCGCCGTGCGGCCAATGTATGTTGCGTTACCAACACATCGAAAAGAATGGATAAGTGGCCAGCGTAGGCAGCCTATCTTTGTCACTAGTTCGGTTGATGGGCGAGCCTGTGAACATACATGATAACCCAACTGCGTTGTAGATCCGCTTAACTGCACGCGTCAGACGTCCATTCAAGAGGTCTGATATGGCTTCTCCTTGAAAAGGTAGACGAATGAATAATTTCTTCTGTTGGGTTTTATGAACCTGTTCGAATTATCGCCTTTCCTGAGGTTTCTCTCAATGAACCGTTCAGGATAACCGTTTTCTCTGAAGACGTCCTTAATTTTTGTTAGTTCTTCATTTACCACATTGTCAGAGCAGATCTTTCGCTTTCGTGATGTGAGACTGAATTAAATTCCTCTTCTGTCTGAGAGCGACGAATCTGTACGAGTGTGTATATTGTCCCGTTCAAGTTGGTTGTCTATGTATTTGACGCTCTAAAGAACCATCATATTTTCGGAGGAGCGCCACATCTAAGAAGGCTTATTTGTCAGTTTCTTCAGTTTCCAACGTGAATTGAATTGATTTGTGATCTTCATTAAATCTTTGTTGCANTATGTCTTCCACGTAGCGACAGTATAGACTAAGTTGCTCTATTTCTCGCTTCCGCTTTCTACCTTCAAATTTGGCCATAAATATTACTGCTAACAATGGGCCTAATAGGGAACCCAAGGCCACCCCATCTATTGGACGGCACAATTTTCTACCAAATAGAAATTGAACAGTGAATGTACATCTCAGTAGTATCTCCCTCAGTTTCTTCGTTGGTATCCGTATGTGCACAAAAGCGACTGATTCAAGCTCTCCACTTACCCTAGTTCCGAAATGATCATCAAAATCACCACCAACGCTCCAATCACAAGTAATCTCACCCGAACACATACACTTAGGGCTTACCTCACCCCTCTACTCTCCGCATCCTAAATGACTTTCGACCCAGAGTAAAAGTGTCCCCACTAACAACAAACCCTCATATTATCTGTACAGGCACGATTATGAATCATTCAGAAACAATCGTTCGCCTTCGAACTTGTGTTTTGATGTTACAAATGAGTTATTCCGGAAACTGAAGCATAAAAGTTATTAAAGCATAAAGATGTAAGTAAAATTCACATAACCAGTTTAAAGATATAATACTGCATAACAGCTCATCAGGGTATGAAAATAATGATATTATATCATATAAATACGATGGAAATGTTTGTGATAACCGACAAAGAGCACTGGACAGCTGTTTTGTCCCATTTGGGACTCGTCAGTAGTGTTTACTTTTTGTGTCCCTGACAGTATTCGTAGCGTAAGTCTTCAGGCTGGGACTCCAAACCCTTACCCTTGAGTTACACGGTCAACTGAGTGAAACCCACAGCTATGGTCATTAACACTGCTTGGTACCTGTGAAAAACCGAATGAGCTAACACGAACATTCACCGTCTGTAATATATTATAATCAAAAATGTCAAAGCTCTGTAAACAACCCTATATTTTAGTATATGAATGGAGGTTATACTTACCATTAAAATGATTTGAACAGCGGTAGTCATCCAATGGCTAAGATCACCACCAGTTAAGTTCCTTTTAAAAAACGTACAGTCATAACAAATGAACAACCTATGTTGAACGCAGAGGTTCGTGCAGTGACTTTTATCATATAACCTTTAAGTGTAAACCTAGATTGCTACTCATGTGGTTTTTTTATATTTTATTCCATTACCAAGTATTTTTGATCCCTTCGAATAAAGAATCAAAGCAGCATGAAGAGCCCTTCACTGTGAAAGGGATGCATCATTAATAATACAACATCGATAATTAGTGGAATAGATTTTGGATAATGAATTTGAGTTCTCTTGTCCGAATATACCATCATTAAACATTGTAAGAAAACACAGAGAAGCGAACAAGCTCGTTTGCGGTGATTCCTCTTCCTCACAATTTTTATCAAACTGTATAGCAGAGGGGGAGAAACTATGACAAGTTAGGAAAAAAGTAATGAACATTGCAGCTCCTTCACCGCATGTTGCTCACACTTCAGTTCTCACACATACCCACTGGTTCGGGTCATTACGGGAGATGGCTGTCTCGTGTGTGCTATTGGCCATGGAAGACCGAGTGTTCTCACGAATTAATTTTGAAAACATAGGGGAGGATGCAGGCGGATTCCGATCGCTTCCACTGTGGCCAAAATGCGACTCCTAATCCTCTTAGATCGACGGCTGCGAACCACGTAGAGGGGTCAAAATACCTCGGCCACATTAACCACGTGGTTTGATGCCACTAGGTGTGAAACGATCGAGCTGTTGATAGTCTCAATTGCTCCACTATTCAACCAGGCCGGGTGGTGATTACGAACTCTTTTAGATAAAACTCTACCCGTGTGGCCAATATACCTTGTCCCACAGGTACAGATAAATAAGTACACACAGAAAACGACGGCACAAAGGGGCAATCTATCTTTGAGTTGAAAGCACAGAAGTTAAGTTCCAAGAAATATTTTGATGATTCCGTCAACGGAAATTTCAATCAGAGGAAAACAGATTTTTCGACCGTATGCTGACGGTCGTGACATCGACATTTTATAATTCTGATCGATTTCCGCGACTCCGAAAACGGAATCGATTTTCTTCTTTATATAAACACAACTTTTGAAACAGCATGCAATAATCCAAAAGGTCTGAGGAACAAAAGGCGTATAATTATTTCTCATCGAATAAAAACGCAGGTACGCTTGAAAGGTTATGAACTCCATTATTGCACGAAGTTATTTTGTGATTGTACTATTAATTCGATTGAATTACCGTTCTTCGTAAACATCTAAAAATGTGTTTTACAGAATGTCTTATTATGAGCACGGAGGATATTAAAATCTACCACAATTGATTAGCGAGCAATCTTCAGGCTAATACGATTACTCTGTTCCAAGCAGATGTCAGACTTCAACATGGTCGGCTCGTAGAAAAGCGCACAGTAAACACATGCTAGCGAAAATAACAAAATTTCTGATTCCACTGGCTTAAACAGCCTGATGTGTGAAGAAACCGAATAAATAACCTTGGAGAAGAATGTGGCAAACAAGCTAGATTTCAAATCACAGTGTGACCATCTTTATGCACACTCACGTTCTGAGATATTTGGGCTGTACGCTGTTTCCATTATCCCTACTGGTTTTTGGCATCACATATATTGTCTTGTATTGGCATAGATGCGACTAACTTGTTCGCATTCTTGTTTTTCCCTGTGTGTCCTGCGAGATCCTATCACCGCGAAGAATAATTTAATCCAGGGAGCTTGGAATTTGCCATTATGTAATTCTATCATCCAATTCGTGTATCCCATATCAAATCAGTCCCACCCGGTAAAATTTAATAAAATATAACAATTCTTTAGCAAAATCTTTTTTGTCAGTTGTGGAAGCTTTAAAGTTAGTTCAATTTAAAATTAGCCGCACTGGGCGAAAGTTTTATCTGGTGAAACTTGTTATTCCAGCGTACAGTATGACCCGGTTTGCTTTTGTAACGCATCCACGTGTTGCATTTCCAACTTCTCTGCTTCTTCTGTTTTTCATAATTATTCCGGAATATACAAACAGCTGCACTGCTTCTGATTTTCGTGTGAATCTCCGTAGTTTACTTTGAATTTATAAACCATGTTCCTCATATGTTTGTCAAGCAGTTCAACAGTTTGGTGGTTGCTCAGTGCCATTCCTCATGTTTTGTTTCTCTAAAAGCATTGTGTAGCATGTAGCATGTAACGAGCCTTAAGGTGAACGTTTTATCTGGAGCCTACTCACGCCAATGAACCAAGTTCCGTGCTGACCGTTCGAATAGCGCGCTTGTTAAGTTATTTCTTCCAGATTCGTTAAGGATCTCTGAAGTTGCCCCCGGTTATCGCACCTTCTGCTTCGGAGTATGCGCAATTCGAAACAGATCAATGTCAAATAATTGAGACACGCATTAAACGTGGTTAGAACATAATCTAGACTTGTGGTCAGTTCAATCAAAACACACAAGTCACATTATTAGAACAGTTTAACCCGAACATGGGATAATTGGCTGTCAACCAAAAGCTGAATTGTGCGAATTACTTTGACTAAATCTTTCAGTTTGTTTTACGATTTGAATCGGTAACCTTATGGCTGTTGTTGTTCCTCTTTGTGGTGGTGGAGGTGGCAGTAGCGGAGGGTTATCATCGACGAACCGTTTAGGGTTGAATAAACACCTACAGTGAGCTGAACGATTTTCCCCATTTCATTCGTTCACAAACATAACGACTCAAGGAATAAAACCATTAAATTAAAATGTTTTTTACTTTAAGTAGATCCGAACCTGATAAATATTGCTACCCGATTGACAGTATGCATACTAGAATGCTGGTTCTGCATACCTCACTTCCCACTTGACCAGTGAAGCAGTAGCTTTAGCCGGGCTTGTTAATTTCGGTATTCAATTTGAGCTTCCCGTTCCGGGGTTGGATGAAACGTGAAGTAATTAATGAACAAAAAGAGGAGATACTCTCACAAAGGTGAGGACCAATGACGTTTTATTTAAATATTTTGCAATCGATGCACTTAAATTTCCAAATAGCTTTTAAATAAAACAAAAACTCGAATTTTCGTGAAAGGATTTACAACCAAATCTAGTGTCCGGATTGTTCAGCCACAAAACCGAGAAATTCGTTATAGCTCAGTTGGCCGTCTCCGTTCACGTCATGCTCGTCAATCCATTCATCAATCACAGACGCACTGATTCCCGTATCCATTTCTCGAAACATAGCCTTCAATTCCTCCCGTGTAATAGTCCCAGTGCGGTCTTGGTCCAAGGAAAAAAACAGTTGTTTCCATCTATTTTGTCAAAAGACAGATTGGGAATTACTGAGTATCACAAGTGATACAAACGACGTCATGTATACAAAAGAATATGAGCTGAACCGTTTCAACCAAGCCCGCGCAGTGTACTGCAACACGCTCATGTCTATACATCGTGTTCAATTTATGAGCCAATCTTCAATCGGCTAGGGTAACCAGATGTCTGACTTCTATTAATCGCACTTAGAACTCACTCTGACAATGGTTCCTGGGTCAAACCAAGTGCTAGTTTGTATTCGTTGAACGTGATATTTCCATCCTTGTTCAAATCCAGTTCCTCCATTAGGCGCTAGATGAGTGTTTAGGAAAAAAGTGGTCAATCGCGTGTTCAAAGAACAAGAAGGAAGCCAGTGCAGAGAATTTAAACTGAGCCGTCAGTCGATATTAGTCCAACAGTTGTGAGTTTTTAGGATAAACATTTTGTAAACAATTGAACCGTTTGCGGAAGGTAAATAAAAACAATAATAAATCAGTCAGTCTTCTTTATCATTACCCTACCAATCTGCAAGATGATTCCTCTTATTCTCTTGATTGACTGTGTAAATTAGTGAACCTACTACGACGAGCTCATAATGTCAACATCTAATCATCTTAGAACTTATGTGCAAAGATTGGTTTCCGTGACTGCTTATCTTTACGTGATTTTGGATTAAACAGCCGTCTTCCTTATAAACTAGATAAGGAAGCATCCTTAGTGCTAAGGAGAATTAGTACCTAATCCGCTTCTCCACAATCAGAAATGATTTCCATTATCATGCCAATCATAGTAAGCTTCCAAGCAAAAAATGAATTACTAACTCTAAAAACAATATATGAACAAACCGAACTTGGAAATTCTAGTATTTTCTAGTATAGCTTTCTCGGCAGGGCGATAAAGCACAACTGTCATGCAAATGTCGTCAAAATCCAGTCCCACGTCAAACAGTGAATCTTCTAAGACTTACACTTGATTTAAATGCTGATTTCCAACTGTACGTTTAACCAAATGTGCAAGAGATTTGTGGTAGTAGTAGCTGACTAGCTAATTTATCGAGACAATCCGGATTCGAAAAATCAATTCAGTGTTTCCTAGTTTCAAACTTATCTCTCTCTCAATAGCGTATCTAAATAAACCAAGCAACGAAAGTTGCCTTGCATCAGAACTGAGATGGAATCAGTTATTAGTAAATTTGGAATAATGCATTCAGTTGTTCACAGGCACCAGGTACTGTTGATGGTCTTGGATGTGGGTTTCACTCCTTGAGAGATGGTTAATTCTTCATTAGTTGAATGCATTTATGAGCGATGGAAAGATTTATGATGACCGACAAGAGCACCGGACAGTTGTTGCGTTCTGTTTAGAACTCATCAGTAATGCATACATTTTGTGTCCTTGTCAGGATTCGAACCGCAAGCTTTCGGGTCGGGACTTCAAACTCTTACGCCTTTCCTTTTTGTACCGGCCACAGAAAATGAAGTGAATACCAAGAGCAAAGCAGACAGATTCGAGTTGTGATGATCAAGTTATTTAGGTTACCAATTTACCTCCCCGTGGTATTTGTGTTCGATTCCAAACACCACNTTCCTCTCGATATCCGAAGGCAGCGCCTAAAGGCTATAGCTCCCAGCCTGAGAAATGTTTGTATATTTGCATATTTAACAATAGGATTTAAAAGGATTCTCATTTTAATCATTGAATGGTTCTCGAGTAGGATGATAAGTCTGAACACCCGTAATCACTTTTTAAATATAATGTTTCTGTACCTTACTAGGACCTAGGTTATTGTCACATTTTCTCACAAATGTCTCCCAGTCTTGGAGACCAGTCATAGGGCATTGCAAATTATTTTTTCGCTGGGCACTAAACTTTTTTCACATAAAATTCAATTATGTATCTTTCGTTACAAATTGGAATGAGTGATTTCTCCTTCAATTTTTAGTTTTTATATACCACTTCTTGTGGCACAAGAAATACCGGCTACAACATTCACCGTCTGTCCGAGATTCATCAAGGGCATCACCGTACGTGACAAAGAAATTAAGAAATTAAGTTAAACACTAGTGTGGTATTTTACAACCTTCTGACACCAAGTACGCAAAAAATGTAAACAAATCATCCCCAATCCTGTAAAGGCTAAAATGGCAAGCCGAGATACATTTGGTTTTGCATTTTAGTTACAGAGCAGGCGGTCAATAATTATCACCCTGATGTGTGCGTAAAAAGGAGTTTGTGGTAGTGATTAGGCTTCAGACTAGTGATTCTCAAACACCCCAACAAGCTATGATTGGACTCTGATGAAACCGGGATCCGAAGGAGCTTCAATCAAGACCCGAATGTTCAAACACAGAGCCTATCCTCTCGTCCTTTGTAAACCCCAATTGTAATCAGCCATGGGCATGATGTAATACTGGCATGGTTATGAAACAGTAAAAACAAGCTTGTTGGTCACTCAGCGCGCTCATCATGTGTTTTATAGTACTATTGTGATTTCACTGCAAGTACTTTATGGTGACTAAGAGCGGGTGAAATTCGAATACCCATCAGAACCTGATACTGAAATGTTTTTTCTGACGATATTTATAATACTCATAGTAAAAGACATTAAATTACTTCTGATCCCAAATTTGTTTAAATAAGAAGTAGGAATCAAATGGAAAGTGTTTTATACGCGTTGAAAATTGATTGCAACAGTAACATATTTATCTTTGGTATATGGCGTACAATTGCGACAGTAGCATTCAGTAAAACAAACTAATAAACTATCACAAGTTACTGCACCCACTGTATGTTTATTAAATACAAATGCGCAATACGCACCTCAATGTTCGCAAGTTTAACTCCCGCGGCAGACAAACCGTTTTCTAATTCTCGGCGCGAAACCACGTTGCTCCCGTCTGTGTCAAGTGTTTTGAATATGGCCAGAAGTTCTTCTGCACTGACTCGACTCATCTTGACTTAAATGGGATAAACCGATAACTGGTGTTTTGCTGATGGAATCTAACAAACAAAAAAAATAGTTTCAGTAACGTTTGCTCTGCAAGAAGTGGACAATGTAAACATGCAAACTGTTCATTATAACGGTCGCATTTTATGCAGCCCAAGTGATAATGTCAATTTAACTACTGAACAACATTAAAAGAACGAAATTAAGCGCAAGAAAAGAGTATCATCCAAGCTCTATCCTGAATCGGTTCTGCTGCACTGTGAACATCTGAATGTGTTGAACGTTCTCTTTTATGGCACAAGGAGTCACAGACAGAACAATAGTTAGTATTTTTACAGATCGTGCTCTTTGAGGGTTTATCTGTGGACTCGTGCAGAAAATCCGAAGCCATACCACCAAAAATTTAACAGTAGCACATCAAGCTCCGGGTTAAATGAGTGGAGTTTCTCACCGGAAGCCTACCATTCGAACCCCGGTGCACGCGAAATAAGCATGCATAACCGTTGAGTTTCATCATTATAGTTCCAACAGTTCGATACCCTATACCATTTCACTACTCTCAATTTCCGCATGTCTAAACTGAGACGTTCCTCCCACAGATCCAATTTGGTTTTCTGATTATAAAAACTGGCAGAGTTGATGACAGTATGCAAATGTTAATCTTTTGTTTGTTTTATGATTTTCATTCATTCATTTTAGAATGAAACCCACATTCTAGGTAAACATAAATTCACGAAGAAATGATTAGATCGGAATTGAGTGTCTCACTAATTACAACTTATTTCAAACAGTGTCAATCACCGACTTCATTCTGTTGGTTCTACTGACCACTGGACATCATCAATTGGTATGAGATCAGAAGTGATCTAAATCACTGATACCCACGTGTTATCGCAAATGTCACAGCACTCGAACAGGAGACAAAGATGGAAAACGTGTCATGTACTTTTTTACATAATTTTGTAAATAGTAATTAATTTTCTCATTGCTATTACCTACTGACATGACAACATCAATTTTAGTACAATACGTTATGTTGGAATATTATGGCTTAGAGAGAGATGTTCCATAAAGATGTCACTAACTCACCGTATCCGACCGTGTGTATCACCTTTATCTGGCTTCGATTAGGTTGCAACACTCTAACTCCCACACACTGAACGTACATTAAATCGTTATTTTGCGCGTATGAATACGATGGAATATCACGTGGTATCAGGAGAGAGAAACAGCTCAATGATGCCTAGGAACCGGTCTTTATCATTGGATTTAGATCGATAGACACACATAAGTGGCGCCATCACAATGATCACAAGAGGCTCACACAACACATTTTTTCTTTGCTGCTGTTAGTCTTAGTCGTTGCAAGAACAGTATTTTGAAAAAAAATAAGATCAGATTTTCTTATGGATAGCAAACGTTGAAATGTCTGTTTGGCAATGATATTTGATCTACCACCCTAATTAATTTTTCAGCGCTTTTCTTGCGACGTTCTCACCCTATGACTTGTCTTACATCTCCTGATGATGAAGAAAATTTGGAACCATGCATCTCATTACATAGTGAGATGTCTGGTAAACTATTGACTCAGCATGTATTCACTAGATCTTCAGTCTCTTAAGCTCAACTTGCAAAAGTCATGACTGGCATACAACTTGTCATTTGATACTGACTCCAAACAACTTAAGAACTGTTTAATCCCGCATTCCTTTGGACCCACACTTTTGATCTCTTTCTGATTTATAAATCGAATGTGTGCAAACTTTTTGACTATAAGCATCCACTTCTAAACAAACATGCTTTAGCGTTTGAGTTCCAAGGAAGGTTGAATGTTCTACAAGGATATCTTCAAACCCGGAAACAGTAGATATTATCTTTGTTCTTTCGAATTTATTAACTTTTGAAATATATTATCTCCACCCTATGGTATTTTATCTGAGTTATATAAATTGTGATACAATGGCTAAAAAGGAAGAGTCACTAAGAACAAGTCTTTATCATTACATTGTTTTCAAATCAAAATGTTCGCTGTCGGTCTGATGGGACGATATAATTCGAATCGTTGGCAAGATATTTTAACTTGAATCTCCATCCGACAAGCGTACTTTTCGTGACACTATCGTGATTCTCGAAAGCCAATATAACGATGGCTTCCAACTCTGCGGCGAAACTCCCGGATCAGTGTGTCTCGTTAACCTGCCCCACAGTATGTGATATCTCGTGTTTTCTATTCGTCAGACCAAAGATATTAGTTACGTAACTACTTTCCAATGGTCAGTCGTCTCCTGTTGAACTGGAAACGCTGTCACTAAGATGAAAGTTTTGTTTACCACGAATAGTCTTGTGGAAGAAATTTAAAGTACCAATGCGTCAAACGAAAGATCTATGCCTCAGTCAGATGAGAATTCGCATTGCTGTTAGAATCTGCTGATGATATTCTTCTGTGAGCACCGAGAGGTTCAAACACAACCACTCTTCCCTAAATTGCTGTGTGGCAGATCAAGAACGTAGTATATCACAGACGCAGAAATCGGTTATCCAATTTTTTTGTAGATGTATAAGCCGATGACATATTGGCTTTTCGGTATTTGCCCTTGCCCAGAAGCAAAGAAGGGGCTGTTATAAGATAGTCGCAAAAAGAAAACCAAATTGTATAGTCTCGAGCCATTTAAATACAAATGTAATCTGGTTTGACGTCTAAAGCCCAGAAGATGTGTTTGTTAGAGACACTGGAGCATTATCAGAAATAGTATAACGATAGGAATATTTTACCCATCTTCGAAAATGAGCCAGTAGTCAACGTATTCAAGAAGGAACTATTCGGAAAGATTCCGCTCAAGAGGGACTCAAAGATAGTTTAGTTCAGTCACTGCAAGGGGCTGTAAATTCTACATTCCCTTCATCCAAACTAAGATTGGTGCGTTCTACTGCTAATACGAAAGCAACTGAAATACAAACTTCTGAAACTTAACTAGAACTAAATTGACTCCAGACTTATTCTGTGGTAGATTTTTGAATATATGTTGTTCTCCTACAACTGGTGATGTATTTACCATCGACCATGGCACCAACACTTATCTGTAGATTCTCAGATAATTTAAATAAAAACCCATTATGGATCAGTACTACAGGATTTGTTAATTACATGCTCCTTGCTTTATTATCGTCTTCTAGAAGTCCTAGATCATTTTAGCGTGCTCGAGGTTGAAAAGAATAATAAAGCAGATAAAATGAATACTGCTTTGCCTGATGGTTGGCTAAGTATGAATTCAACGCAGATATTATAAAGCCTAACCGAGCACACAGTTTGATATTGATTGAATATAAATATCAATAATCAGATTAACTCGGAAACCACAAATGCAATTTAAAATACAAATCCGGTAAAAGGGTTATGCAATGGATCTCCGTACGGTTTTTATTTTTAATCAGATAACAGTAAACATCTCATCTTCCCTCGAATTTTATTCTTATCTCCGATAATTGGTCTCCATATCTCTGACTCTGCCAACCACTTACCAGCCGCAGATCACGTCATATCCCCCATTAGTGCATCTGCGAATTGGGTAAAGCAAAAAGTATATTATGCTTTTTAGTATTATTATTATTACTATTATCACTATTATTGTGATACTCAGTACTTTGTGCTTTTTAAAGCCAAAATAATTTCGTGGTGATTTGAGTAGCGATCAACTTGCATCACTATTCAATGCCAGTATACCAGTGGCTTTGCTCTATGGTAAACAGCATAATGGTATGGTGAATCATGGGGCATAATTGGAAACTTTTCATTCCGTTAATGATTGAAGTTTCACTTTGATCCTGTTTGATTTGACGATAAAACCTCACCCTTACCCTTTTTACCATGACGCGGAGCTTCATTGATAGACCTTCCCCGAAATGCAAAAGAATAGATACTTTCACAACGTTTGATTTATGTCAAACAAAAGAATATAACACGCATATCCGCATCACACTGAAGCAACGTATCACGTGCAACATAAAATCATTGCGTCTTACATTCAGTTCACTTAGATAATTTCGATATGACCATTCGTTTCTAGGTACCAGTGTATATAAATGCGAACAGCAAAAAGGCTTTCATATCCATGATAGGGTTTCAATATTGCTTTTCGGTATGAGTGGATACTCTGATGAAAAGCGCAAAGAGTTGTTAAAGCGTTTTCATCAGATTGATCGAAATGGAGATGGCGTACTGTCTGTAGATGAAGTTCGGCGCGTCGTTCAGATTTCCGGGTTAAAGGAATCCGCTGTTCAGGTAGGTGACTTGTAGACATGTTGCTTGTCATGAGAACCCTACAATGTGTGAGGTATATAGTGACGAACATCCCATTTCAACTGCCTTTTTCATTGCGAATGAATTTTGTGTGGGGTGAACAGATTAATAAACTTTTCTTATTGACATAGCATTTCATTCCACAGATATGAAATAGCTAGTGCTATATTCCTCTTGGGGTGTTAGAATATGATCCGTCAAAAAGGCTATGCTAAACGTTGCCAGAATATGGTGAAATGCATTGGTGTTGCAACAAGAAACCACAAAACTACCTGTATTATTACTGTTATCTCCACTTCTTCTGAACTGGTACATAAAAGCACTAACTGATACCAGTAAATTAATCGATTTCCTTCATTTTTGTACTACTCAATGACCCTGATCACTTTGAACTGTTCCGAGCGTTTGACAAGAAACTTTGACGCCTCCTGTGGACACGAATTCGGTTCATCAGGAAAAGATCAACTTTACAAATGTTACTGTTCCATGCAGTCGCTTCGACAAGTCAGTTTCATCAGAAAGTTCTTTTCCTTAGCCTTTTGGTAGCTCCAGGTATAAAATAGCTTTGTGTTCAATTGAACATTTTATTAAAGTTATAGCTTATCCTAATGTGTGTTTACACACTATTTAAACTGATTTACACGCCTCGAAGTGATTACTTCCGAATATTTATATTCCGAACATTTTTCAGCCTAATTACGTAAAATCTTCAGTGAGAATCCGGGTAGAATGCACAGTTTTATCTCATTAAAGTTACGGGGTCCGTTTACAGGTGAATTTTTCTGTGCTTTTTTATAACGAACCGTGACAAAAGGCAATTAAGCGACAGCTTTCTTGGTAATTTATCGTTAGAAAGCTAAACACCAAGTTTGAAGTAATAACCAACAACAAAAGTAACAACATTCAGTCTCCTAGCGACGGTTATCTCCCTCCAACTAAACAGTGAGTTTCGTCAGTTGACAAATTGAGAAATAAATTTCGTGAAAAAATATAAAAGAAAAACTTTACTTATTGCCCACACTTCCTCATTAACTGTTGTTTCAAAAAAACAGCCCTGGCATTTCCACTAATGGACCATCATGCTCCCTTTCCTGTAAATCAAAAAGGCCATTTCCAGAAAGCGACCTGCTGTGGATTATTTGGCTTCATTAGGCAGTCCCTTCATTTTTACATGAATCTCATGATTTGATTAACTGCAATAGTATCACATATTTTCCGCAACAAAACCAAGAAAATCCTCGCAGCTGAAAACCCCATCTCCGTTTGTATCATGCTCTTCCATCCATAGTTCCAACACGGAAGTGCTTGAGCTGAGACCAAGATCACCCATCATAGCTCGCAGTTCCGACGCATTAATTGTACCCGAACGATCCACATCAAGGTTGGCGAAGATTCTGCGCCATCTGCTTGCGAAACATTGCGCGTGTGAGTGGTATGAGTGGATAGGGGAGAAAAACAGAACTGAGAATTCCAAGTTCTCGCTTCAAGGACTGAGTAAATCGTGTAAACATGGATTTCGGGATGATTGAATAATTCACTGGTTAGCCCAAAGAAGCTTATAATTATCTGTTTGGAAAATTGGAATTTGTAAGAAATAAAACACCGGAAAATGCATGCTGAAACAAATTTTTTTATGCGCGTTTTGTGTGTGTGCCTGCCTGTAACCAATTCACAAATCTATATTTAGTTCCCGAGTATTGTGAATCGGGTTTAGCTGAATAACATTAAAATGGGTTAGATTTGAATATGTTATCAGGTTTATTCAATACAGTTTGCCGTGACACGCAACCTACCGAATATAATCTGTTAATACGTTTCAGCTCCCTAAATTAGCCATAAACTAACAACAATTCATAGCTGAAAACACAATAAATTCCAGGATTCTACATTTTATTTGGGTGTAAGTAAACAGACGCGTTAGAATAAATGCTTGAAATTTTAAACCTACGACTTCACAATTGACCGCAAAGCCTGAGCGATTATCCGCGTGCTACGATCAAAACGCTGAAGTCTTGATCCGGAAAGCCAAAGACAATTTTAACTTTCATTCTAAACTAAACTTCTGTTTCATCCCAAAGTATATGTGTTATCGAATCGAAAAAAACCTTTTAGTCGGTTCATCACTTCATTTGGTAAATTGCATTTGGGAAAAGTCAATCGTTTTTCCATATATAAATATTCAGTATAAAACGAAAAAATCTTCCGCGATTCGTTTGTAGAGAAAACGAAACTTCTTCCACAATAGTGAAATGGGTAAAATAAATCTTAGAGCTTACATTAGGGAGTCTAGAGCACCCGATATCACAAGTCTGATGTCAATTGTGCCTGGTGCCTCTGAACGATCGAATGGGCTAATCCAAGCTTGCTGCTCTAATAAACGTCGTTGCATTAGTTTCGAAATATTTAAAGTATTTCACTACCCCCAGTGCGTGTTATGTAGTACTTTTAGGAAATTTGGTCGCAGCACGTAGGACGCACTTACTGTCGGTTTTCGTTTCATATAATTACCTATAGTCTAGCTACTGGCGTCAGGCAAGTGTGATATATATATATATATATATATATATATATATATATATATATATCGCCACAGTAATGGCAACAAATAAAGATTATTTTATTTTCCTCATAGCGTATTCAAATTTGGTCTTCACACTTCTGGTCAAGCTGAATCTTTTCACGATTAAGGATTACATTTGTCATTGAAACGTTTTGATCAGCACCAAATGTCCGCTGATCCGTAAGGTTTTCATACATAGTCTCTCTCTAGGCGGAGTTTAGCATGTTAATCGAAATGCTGAAATATTGAGTATTCGTTTGCCCTGAAAGGTGAAATAAAGCTTAACTTGATAAAAGTGAATGGTTCCTATTACACTGATATGTGACAGTGGAACATAAAGTGCATACATCTGTAAGACAGAGACTTTTTGAATAAGACAAACGGAGGCTTGTACGACGTTTGATGGTAGAATCATGACTCACTCGGACAAAGGTGTATCTGTCAGACCCAGAGCTAATTCATATTCGTTCCAAGTAACGGTTCCGTTGTTATTGATGTCCACATCTCGCATCAGTTGCTGAAACACAGAGCAGCACCAGGCGAGAGGTATGAGTATCGTATTCGTGGAAGAAGTGTTTATAACACCTAAACTGTAGCGTCATTGAAAAGTTTGAGCACTGTAGAAATCCTAATTTCTGATCTACGGGGAAAACAAATGAAGGCATACGGATAACGTACTGCTTTTTAAATGATTTGAAATACTAAGTCAGAAGGAGGTAAGTGATTGAACATTTCAAATCACCAAATTACCTAAAGTTTATCAATTTGATAAATGGACAGCCATGCACTTGGACAGTATCAGACTCGAGTTTCGCTCCTTTAAGACCTCATCAGTATTTTTATCCATCAATCCATCTCAAGATTTGAACTCTAGACGGAAGGTGTTAGCGTTAACAGTGTACTAACCAGTTCCCACAGGAGCTAACCACAACTATCAGAAGTGTTTGAAAAACATTGTGTACCTAGTTAACTGCTACAACAATGAGCTAAGTTAACTCAAATCAGTTAAACAAAAAAGCTCATTTAAATATATCTTTCCCTGTGCGTGAAATCTAAAGTTTTCTCTCCTTAAATCAATAGACTTTTTTATCAAGATGATCCGCACCTAGAAATATATATATATATATTATATCCGTTAACAAGTATTCTACTCGTGTTTACAAGTCTTTGAAATTTCTCAGCACCGTGCGGTGTCAGTGAATTTAGACACACATCATTCCTGCTTTTCTCACTTTTAAGTTCTAATCTTGCCATTTTTCCATAAAAAATAGACTAGGAGTCCTTCACGGGAAATCATAAGGAGCCCGTAATTATTCCACACTGAGTTGTTTTGACGAGTAATTAACGCTAAAAGACATATCTTGGCGCTCTGGTAGCTGAAGTGATCCCCAAAACGGTATATTTTGATCTGTAGACCTCGTGATTTGTGTTTGAACGGAATGCATCAGAGTCACGTACAACAGCAATTAAATTCGTTTCAATTCCTAACGGAACACGTGAACTCATATGGATTTCAGAAAATGAAATAAATCTCGTGTGTGATCTGAATTCGTATTTCACTATCGTAATGAATTACGAACGTAAGGTTTGAAGTAACATGTCACAAACGCGGTTGACTCACAATAGATCTCATTTTGTTTCCATCTGGGTAGATACTTACGTTTACTGTTTTCTGGCTCAAGCCACTATCAGACAGAGATTTTTCCAAAGCTTCCCGTGAAACACATTCCTCATTATTTTGATCCAACTGATGAAATATCTGCGTCATCTCCGCTGTGGTTAACGTTTTTCGCATCTGCTTATGAAGAAGTAAGGTATTACCGGTGATTCACTATGTAGATATTAATGTGTTTTTAACCATCATAATAAAAATAATAACGGAACTTTATCAAATCGCGGGATTTTAAGACAATACATTTTGTCAGAGAAATTTTAATATTGAATCCGCACAATTAGTTTCCCTTACGTTCCAAGTTTTGTAACAGAAAGGTGTTTACTACGATCGAAAGCGATTGAAAGTTTAACCACACATTCGCTCCATTTTGTCACCTCGTTAAGTGATTACATGAAAAATATTGAAATAAGAGTAACAGGAGGGTGCAATTGACCCAGAAATTTTCCGAGAGAACCTAAATTTGATCAAAAAGAGACACACTAATGGGCTTTGAACACAGTCTAAAAGCTTTTGCTCTTTGGGTTAATTCTGATTAAATCAAAGCAATGCCGGCATGCCCTCAATAGACTTTCAAAAACTTGTTCTACAGTACTATTTGAACTTTAAGTGAAAACAAATTATTAGGATATAATATTTTCCTTCCCTTTCATTCTCATTCATCCCGAAGAGGCTGAATACTGAACCAGCGTACGTCTGTCGTGTACTCACGACTGAGAGGTACAGGTAAAGTCTAGTTTCCTGGTCCTTTATTTGAGAGGGTCTTTTGGAGTTGTCCTTTCAGTTGGTAAAAGGATGAAAGAGGAATCCATTCAAGTGAACGAGTTTCTATTTTACTTCATCCACTATCTTATCATCAGGTTCGTATCAGAACTGAAGACCTTCGTTGCGAACCCTAATCATCCTCTTACTTAGTGGCTTTTTCATCCTATAAGTAAACCTCCACACCAAACTCTAATGAATACACAAATAATGAATTACTTCATCCATCAACGTCATTCAGGCAAGTCAATCAAAATCGAGTCGTCCATTGTGTCGAGCAGGGATGGGTCGTGATAAGTAAACCGCTGTTAAGAAATCCCAATCTTTATTTATTTCGCTGACAACCATCGCTGTTTATCCATTCTTTCAACCCGTAATGCACCCTCAAACAACTCGTTTTCCATTCACCAAAGCTCGTTGAAAAACAGTGGTGTAATTAGTTCAACACCAAATAATTTGCAGCATGAGGACTCTTATGCAGATGGTTCATAAAAATGGTTTGCCGCGAACAAATAACTGGTTATGAATTAAGATGATCCGCTTGTCGCAGACAAGAAGTTAGAATTTTAATAGCATAATCCCCTTAGTTGTGACGGGTTTGCTATTGAGATACCTGCCCGGCACATCAGGTCCAAACGAAACGTGCTCATCTAATCAGCCCAGAGAGGATAGTGTACTCAGTGCTAGAGCCAATGAATTGATTGTCATTTCGATTCACATCAATGGATGTTTATGTGCGATATGGCTCCAGGAGTAAATCAGTGCCCCGAAATGGAAGCACACCCTTAATGTATTTCTCCATTATTTTAGTATAATTGCCCACCGACGGCAGTCCGGATGAAAATAAAATCCAGTTCTACAAGAAAACAGTGAAATTATTTAGCTAAGCTGAAGCTCCGATATAGTTGTCATAGCAGGTGCTTTCACTGCAGAAGCCGATTGACAGTGATAGTCTTCCTTGATGAAAAAGTATCTTCTGACTCATTCACTCACACGAATGCTTTTGGTTTCCTTCAGTAATGTGTTGACTAACTAGGGTCACCATACTCACATACTCCAGGTCTATGGCGAACTAAGTAGTTCATAATTCATCAGTTGTGATACTCGTCAGGAGTGCACTGTTCCGTCGTTTCTGCTTCATTTCGTAATAGGCAGAACTTTGGAGAACGCCCGAAGTGGTTTTCAAGGTGTTCGTATGCAATAAGCAGCCGTCAAAAGCCGACTTGTTTAAATTACTCTGTCGCCATGTTCAGTCTGTTTGAATCTGTGAAGGGTGCACAGCGCACAATGGATAAACTAGCAAACTTTGTCGCTCCGGTCGGTAACGCACATTGACAGTGTAAAGTGCTGCAGCTTGAGTTTCGCTTGATTAGTCCTGAATTGAATTAAGATTGTCAGGAATCGGCTGACGTTGAATACTTCTCCTACTTCGGGCAGTTACGTGACAAATGATGATAACGCGACAACGGAGATAACCGTAGGCATTTCCAAGTCCCAAGCATCGTACGCAGTACTGAAGCAACTTTAGCATCGACTTGACTTTTCAATGACATTGAACATTCTCATTTCCCCAATTCAAACTAATAAGTCCATAGGAGGATTTACCAGCACTTGCTAATTCAAATCAATAAACTTACAATCGTCCTGAACATACACCAGACAAATACATCCTAAACAACGGGAAAAATCTCCCCACGATAAACAACTTTCCTTTATTACTCCATTGTTCTAATATCACAACAGAAACAAAAAATTCGTACTATATAAACATCATTCTTGATACCAAAGTACTAACGATAGATTGTTGTTTTTATTTCCGATAAAAAGAAACTAAAAACTATACTTGCTAACAAAACTAGTGACAGAACTGTAGTTTGAACATACCTTCCACTATATTTCGTCCAAAAACGATAGAGTAACCAACACAGATAATGTGGTACACTACACAAAATGTTTAGAAACAACCATGATCTGGTACGGCTCCATATTTTACGTCAACCTCTCACTGGCTCACGATTCAGCTAATCAATAGACGAATACCAATGAAGACAAACCGATACTCATTCCTACGGTCTCACCTTGACCTAAGTGTCCTGCACAGTGGCTAGTGTGTCTCTAAAACAGTTTGATCTTTCTACACGTTCATGCCGCAATCGTATGCTGTGTACCAGAACGGAAAGACAACTGGCTGCGCCGGCATATGATCATGCTTGCAATGAAGTTTCAAAATGAAACCAGTTACTTCAAAGGACTTTACTGCTTAGTCTATTGGTCAACTAAACATTATTGTCCAAAAACTTGGAGTTGATTAAACACGTGATCAATAGGCAAAACGAATTTCCGTACTCAATAGACTAAACGGTTACTAAATTTAGGTACTATTCATGCTCTCCTCAAAGGGAACTGTCAGGCGCCAGTTGTTCTCGACACAACCAACTTTTTGATACACTGCGTAAACGCACTGTTTTCACTTCTACGCCAGTGACTCATATGATGAATGATTTAAAAAAATATGGTAACTATCTGCAACTGAATTTTGTATTGAATCTCACGCGAATTGTCAAAGTAGGGTGCGGTGCGGGAGTGAGTGGGCGAGCGTTTGGAGTAATGGTGTATTAAAAGTCCAGTACCTTGTGCATGTGATCGTCTCTACGAAATAACCAAGTACTCTTTGCATCCGCCTCTATTTGCAATTCGGAACTGTGATTTGACGACCAAAGCTTTGCTTTAGTTGATTTGCGGGCATATATTTTTGCATACATTCCTCGTGACCTTTTTTCTTCTCCTTATTACACCTAAACCGAAAGATAAAAGTGTTGTGAGATGTTGCCACATCAACTGCTGTGGTTAAAGAAGCTGGCAAATATATACTGTAGTAAGTACATCAACCAATTCCAAAGTAAAATTGGACTCGGGGGCTAAGAATTGAGCTAAAGTTTAATTTTCTAGGAATTGTTCGGATGAGCCACAATAAGAAAGAATCACATAGTCCTAATGACCACCTATCTACTCTCTTGGAAGGACTTTTCCGATTTCAGCTACAAGTGAAACTAAACACAGGTTTTGATATAAATGTGTTATAATGATGCGTTTTAAGAGTGGTTCGGGGGTGCGGTCTTGTATACGCGACTGCTGATATAACGGGTTATAACAACAGATGATTTGCCTGTTTGACTGAAAATGAGGTCAATGTGTGTCCATTGGTATCCCACATTATGGATGACAAAAAGCTGAGATATTGTGCTGTGCGTCACTTTTGAAAAATAACAATATCTCAGAACTGACTTCTTTTGTCAACGTCTTGGAGAAGTGTTTTCAAAATAACCAACCGGTTTATTTAAAATCCCGAGCTCGTAATCTTCTCACGATTAGATTATGCGCAAAACCGAATCAAATGTACAGATCAGTGAAACATTGGATACCTACTGAATCTCTATTTGAATTCATTTAAAGGATTCTCAACTGCGAAACTTGAATTTTTCCATCTGTCTACATGGTCTACCAAATCGTGTCCAGCTACATATTACTTTACTTGTCTACTGCTACATCAGACATTATTTCCACATTAATTTATTGTTCAGTTTCAACTGATCGTCTGTTATTCTTGCTACTGAGCTGCACCAGTTTTACATCGTGGGTTTCGGTGAAAAGAAATTGATCAAATGTACGGTTCATCAACTTTAAAATGCCTTTTAAAAGAGTCTGAAAATCGGTGCTGAAGATTTAGTGTTTAACGTTCCTCGTCGTAGTTCACCCAACCATTCTTTTATGGACCTAGTGCACTGAGCAGGATGCACATTTCCCTAAATGAAATTCGTAATGTTTTTGAGTCTTGTAGTGTGAATGGGATGCTTTAGCCAAATTCGCATTATATAACCCCGATTCCGATTGTCCAACCAATCGTAACTAAAGCCATTCATTGAATATTGCTTAAAGCACACATCAACTGCAGTATAAAAATGGATTTGAGTTCACCGTTTCTAGCGGAACTGGCAGGTCCGTGGCCACCGTCAACTGCTTGCGATATTTTGAATAATGCCAATGAAATGGATAGATTTACTCACGCGTGCCTTCGTTCATTAATTCATTTTATTGATCTGTTCATCCTCCCACTGGCCACTCTGATTTGAATCAAACTGCAATGAAACCTAGAAACCATCAGCCTAAACGTTTAGAAAGACAGACGTAAGCGAAGTGAACCAGGCGGTCAATTATGAACCGGTAACAATGTCATTCGACCCAGCAAAACCGGTACTCAACGAGAATTAGTCACCAACCAAAACTGCAGATGTTGAAGGGGAACGTCTGTCCACACTTTGACCCAAATCAGGTTATTAAAAAGGGTTACATTCATGAATTTT